ACAAGACCGTCCCCTGGCCCCTGCGGGAGGGGGGGGGTCCCTCACATCCCTCCGCTGAGCAAAGCGCCCCCATCCCGACAGCCCTGCGGTGATGCTGAGGGGAGGGGATGCGCTGTGGTGCCCCCCGCACACGGGGCTCCTGGCCAAAACCTGTGAGGAGCTGACTCTGGACCTGCCGCTTTCTCCGGTTTATTCCCCACCCTTTTTCTAATCTTTCCCGACATTTGACTGTTTGGCTGCCAGGGAAAGGACATCTTCATGGCGTCGACCACCACCCTCATGCCAGGGCCTTGCTCCTGAGCAGCAACAAGCCCGTCCCTTCGTAGGCGTGTCAAGGTGGCAGCCCTTGTCCCCCACACACTCCCTCTCAGCGGCCATTTTGCTGCCAGTCATCCGGTGCCACTGGTTCTGCCGCGTTTCCCAGCCCTTCTCTGCTGTGCCTCCTCCAGTGCAGGGTCCTATGAAAACATTCTGGAGATCCACATACACCCTATGACGCAAACCTTTTGCTCGAAGAGGCGTCCCTGGAAGCCAGCACTTTGGCTTCTCTGGTCCCTTCCCTGGAGCCAGCCCCAAGATGGACTCCATCCCTCCCAGCAACCTGGTTGTCCTGTGGTCCTCTTTGGAGTTACTGCCCATGAGGTTGGTGCCCCTGATGGCTTTGCAACCCAGCTCTGCCAGCTGGGACCCCCGCTCCAATGGATCCCCATGCACAGGGTGCTCCCCTCCTGTACCACTGCTGGGATGCTGCGCTGGAAATTGCTTCCCCACTGCTACTCCAGGAATGTTTTGGTCAAGACAAGTTCAAATACTGCAGGAGGGCATATTCACTTAAGTGCGCTGCAGCGCTGACATGATAAGCACCACGTTAAACTGGCACACTAACAGCCTGAAGTATAAAATCTGGTAGGATTTAGATCTTCCTCCTCAGACCACTAGATGCAGAGGAAATTCCTTGGTGGTCCCTGCAGGAATTGCAAGGCCCTCACATTTTTAGATCTGGAACACTGGCTGCCACAAATACTAGAGATCTCAAAATCAGAAAAAGCCATTTATTACAGAAAAGCAGAAAGCTGATACAATTATATAAGAGTCACAGTGAAATATCTTTTCTTTTCCGGGCAAATACGACATCATGTCACTATTTATTCAGATTTTTAAAATCTATTATCAGAGTAAGCAATAATAGGAACTACCTTACTAGATAAACATTGGCAAAGCTCTGGCAACAGTTGGCATCTGAGACAGAAAGAAAAGATGTAATTATGTGGTAGATTCTCAACAGGTCTTTGCACAGAGTTTGAAGAGCCATACTGCTTTTGTCAAATTTGACATGACAGTAAGAATTGGGCTGTCAACATACACACTATCTTGCAACAGCTTGTTGACTTCAATACTTCAATAGTCCCAGTTAGAATGAGGAAATCTTTGTGACCCATGGCAGTTTCTAAACAGCTTGACTGGGTACAAATGTGAGCAGCTACCAAAAGAGAGGAGCACAAGGGAGAAGCATCAAGTGAGGGACCTTGAGACAGGCTGGAGAAATGGGCTGCCAGGAATGTCATGAAGTTGAACATGGAAAATTGCAAAGTCCTGCCCCTGGGGAGGAACAACCCCAGGCACCAGTATATGCTGGAGGCCAAGTGACTGGGAAGTAGCTCTGCAGAGAAGGCTGCTGAGGATCCTGCGGAACACCAAGTTGAACTTGAGCTACCGATGTGCCCTTGCAGCAAAAACGACTACCGATGTCCTGGGCTGCACTAGGAGAAGCATTGCCAGCAGGTCGAGGGAAGGTGATCCTTCCCCTCTGCTCAGTACTGGTGAGGTCACACTTGGAGCACTGTGTCCAGTTCTGGGTTCCCAGTACAAAAGAGACATGGGCATACTGGAGAGAGTACAACAGAGGGCTGTGAAGATGATTAAGGGGCTGGAGCATCTGTCCTATGAGGAAAGGCTGAGAGAGCTGGAGAAGAGAAGGCTCAAGGGTATCTCATCAATGTGTATGAATACTCGAAGGGAAGGTATCAAGAAGATGGGGCCAGGCTCTTTCCGGTGGTCCCCAGTGACAGGACCAGAGGCAATGAGCACAATCTGAAACACGGGAGGTTCTCTCTGAGCATCAGGAAGCAGATTTTTACTGTGAGGGTGATCAAGTGCTGGCACAGGTTGCCAGGGAGGTTGTGGAGTCTCCACCCATGGAGATATTCAAAAGCCATCTGGCCATAGTCCTGGGCAGCCTAGGTGGCCCTGCTTGAGCAGAGGATTGGACGAGATGCCTTCCAGAGGTCCCTTCCCACCTCAACTGTTCTGTGATCCTGCGCTGCCTCCTTCTCCAGGACGCACATTCCT